GTAATTCACAAATATCTCAAATGCAATTAATATATTATTTCAATCTAGATGCATGTAATTTGGCTAAAATTTATATGTTTATATTACGTTATCGTCTCATATTTTGTGTATAAATGTGTTGTTACATCTTCATATTGGATATTTTTTTAGTTTATTACGAGTTTTAAGCGTGTAAGATATGTATTAGATATTTTTAAAAGATTAGTTGCTAATTACCCTATGCTAGTTTACTGAGACACGTCTTTTGATGTAACCTTTTATTGATAATTGGGTAAAATTAATTTATGGTACTTTTCGTTAGTTTTACTAGTAATCTAAAAGATATTAAATTTTCTTTTGTTATGGACTCCTAACATCAGATGAAAAATTAAAAAAATAATTAACATAATAAGTTTTCATGATAATGCTTATAGACATCTACACATGATCCATAATAACTATGCTAAAGCATTCTTGATTTTGAGTTAGAAGGAGTTATTCAATAGTATATGAAAATTCAATAATACAAAGGAGATATTTTTTTATATACATTGATTAGACGAAACTATATGAAAATCTAACGATAACTTTATTATTAACCTAAATAAGCTGTCGATCAAAAATAATTCTTGGTGAATTTGGTGAAAACTTCAAAAGGGTTTAACTCAACGCCATATTCTATGCTCTCAAAACTTGCAAATTGCTTCTGTATTTGGCTACGTTATTTGTCACTGTTTGATTAAACGTGAAATTTAAAAATGAAATAAAGATTTTAGAAATTTGTGATCTAAAATAAGCTATGATATTAACTATAAATATTTTATTAAGGATAAAATAAGAAGTTTAAAACATAGATAATATCATTCTATTTATATAGCATATAAAATGAACCGAAAAAGGGTCAAAACTACCCTTAAATAGAAGGGCAAGTGTGGAGGTGGGGTGTGTTTGGCACGCACGTGTGGAGTCCATGGCGCATTTTAACACACACATGGATATGCCTCCGTTAAACAAAAGGGCAAGTGAGATGTAACGATTAGAGTGGAAGGACATCTTTGAGCCGAAATATAGTTTAAGGGTATATTTAAGTTATTTCGAATAGTTTAAGGACGGTTTTGACCCTTTTTCTTTAGTCGTCTATGTGGAGGTGGGTCTATTTGGCGTGCACATGTGGCATCACCGGGACATTTAACACACACATGGATATTCCCGTTAACTAGAAGGGTAGGTGTGACCCAATAGTTTGACGGAAAGGGTAACTTTTGAACCGAAATATAGTTTAAGGGTATATTTAAGCTATTTCACATAGTTTAAGGATAGTTTTGACCTTAGTCTGTAAAATAAACATTGTTCTCAAAACAAGTAAGTCTAATTAAACAATAACACAATTAACGTTTGTTAATTATTTTATCATACATCATACATATCATTAAAAAGTAATAAAATTCAAAAATACTTTTTAAAAAAACTTTATACCTGATCAAACTAAACCACATAAAATAAAACGAAGTGAGCAAATACTATTATTGCATCCCTTAGATATCTTTATAGCATCTTGTTGATAACTTTGTTAAACTACAAAAGCACTAGTAGCAATTAATTACATATATTTTTTTTCTCAAATGACCCTTACATCTTATATATATATGTATAGCTTCTTATTAAATTTTTCGATTACCAACGTGAGACTTTATTCGAACATTCAACAGCAAGAACCTTCTCCAATTCCGCAGCACGACAAGGGAATTCAAGAACACCCTCTTGACTAAAACCATATTCCTCTTCAGCTTTTTTCAATAATTTTAAAAAAGATGGATGATTTAACCAATTCAAATTAACCACGAACCTTTGTGGTTCCTCTTCAGGATTCACAGAAACAACAGCAAAATGTCCTTCTTTCACATCATTTGGCACCAATAATGTCTTGCCACGTGGCATTTCGACGGAAAATTGATCACTACTAGTAGTAGCATTATTATTTGAAATTTTTTTGGAATTGAGAATTAATTGATGAAGATATTGAGTCTTCAATAACTTCCCAATGATCTTGGACTTCACCATATTTTGATCTTAATTAATATTTGATAGTAAAATGAAAATTTTTAGGATTTGGTTTGTTTTTCTAATAGAAGTTGAGTAGGGGATTTATAGTATAAAGTATTATATAGGGTCCCTATATATTTGCATGTGCTTTTTCAACCTTTTTGGTTATTGATGCTTACATATCATATAATATATCTTTTTCCAAACTTTATGTTCTTGTTTTGTACTTGGTGGAAAAAAAATTATTGAGTTAGGTCAACTCATATAAAATTTTGATTTTGTACATAAAAGTACAATTTTTAAGTGAAGGGTGTATAGATTATTCGAAAAATCTGTGTACTTAAAAATTCAATGAACCTTATCCAAACAAGTGTTTCATGTCTTACTATCGCAGTGTTCGGTTTGTCTTGATTTCCGAGTGATGAACAAGAAGAAAAATGAAACAACTAGATTTTGGACTCGCCTCCGTCTACGTGTCTTTTGGACCGTTCGCCCGCCCGCCCACCAGTGAAAGCAAGCTAGCCCCCTATGTTGAAAAGTTGAGGGAAGAGTGCATTTTCATCGCGAAAGATTTGATTCAGTCACGAATTCATCTACGGCTACATTATACTTTTAATATGATGTACGTGAAACTTTATTCGCGCACTCAATAAAGAAAGAAACATGATTAAGAAATGAAATTAATAATAATTTGACCTTTCATATATTGCTCACATGAGAGAAGAAAAGGATATGAGGAAAGGCCAGTAAGATTTTCCATTTTGGGTGTGTTTGGTATGAATTATTATACAAAGTGTTATATATATTGATATCGAAAAAGGATCATATTGTTTTTGTACTCTTAGTAATGGATTGTATTTAATTTGTTTTTCGTTAAAGTTTTTCAATTTATTTGACATTGTCATCCAACTAAAGATACATATTTGCTCTTGAACAGTTAGGTTTCATATCTCAATTTTTCATTCTATGTAGCATCTGTATGGCGCCTACGTGACATACCTACATAGATATTGTTTTAACTGAAATAATATAAATATATATGTGGCATGCCCCATGTAGACACCACATAGGATGATAAAAGTGGAGATATGAAACTTAACGATTTAAAGATAAGTATATACTTTATATTGGATGATAAGGATAAATACATAAAAAAAGTATAACGAAAGATATATTTCTTTGTTCCTAAAAGCTAAGGTTAAGATTTGTCAAACTTTTTAATATAAGTATCAAATAAATTATTAAAATAATTACTTTAATTATTGATCATCTAAAAGATACTAGATTCTCCTTTGGGTACTTCAATTGTCACATCATAAAAATCTAAATATTTTCTATTGTAATGCTTATAGACACCTCATGTGAATTGTGATCCATAATAACTAATTGTCAAAGGAAAAATTTATTCAATAATAATAAAGGATACCTTCATAAATTAATATTTAAAACAACCTTGTAATAAGCAATCCACCAAAAAAAATTAATTTGGTGTCACATTCTTAGCTCTCAAAAACTTGTAAATTGTTTAATCGTTTGTGTTTATTTATCTCAATTTATACAAACATATTTGACTGAATACATAATTTAATAATAAAATAAAGATTTTTGAAATTTATAATCTAAAATATACAAATCTATAGATCATTTCATAAAAATAAAGTAAATTCCATTTCATGAAATATATTATATAAATTGAGACAGGACGAGGAAAAAGAGAAGCTAAAAAAGTTCCACTTCATTTTCTGTTTATATAAATAAAATTAAATGTACTAAGCAGAAAGTTCCATGATAAACTTATAGTATATTCATAATATTTTAGCTTAATGTTTACGTTTATTTGATAGGAAGTATTTATAGATGCACTTTCGTAAAAAGAGAAACTCATAACTCTTTCAAACAAGTATTTTCAGTTACGAAAATGCATATTTTCTTTGTTTCAATTTATATGTCATATTTTTTTCTTTTATTTAGTCCTGAAAAGAAAAGGACATACTTTCTTATATTTAAAAAGTAATTTTAACTTTAAACTTTTTTATTTTTCTAAAAATATTTTTCCATTTTTTTTTAGAATTTAAACTTTAAAATTAAGTGTGTTAGGCTGATTGGATAATCTCCAAAAATTTGTAATATATAAAAAGATTTGCTAGACAAGAAGTTGGCAGATTCAAATGCATATTCCTCCTTTAAGGGAACAGAAAATAACAAAATAGTTTTAAGAGAAAAAAAAAAACTTTGAACATATTTATAAGGGTCAGCAAGATTAAATTAAATTGTGGTCCACATATTTATTAATTAATTTAATACATATGAGTTGGATTTTATATATAGGCTATCTTTAATTCATCGTTTTTAGTCAACTCAAACAACGGGTAAGAAAGACATTATTGAAGGCTCATAGGTGTTTCTACGTTAAAGGAAAACATTAAACTCATTTTTATGATTCTATTTCTTAGAATTTTGCGTTATTACCTTCTATGCTAATTTATATGAGTCTGGAAGCAACTGTAATATTATCTCCGCATAACTCATAGTTTATGAGTTCGAACCATAAAATCAGTTATATCGATAATATTTTATATCCTATTCAAGAGTTACATATATATTTGTAATGTTGAGAGTGTAGGAACAACTCTCTATGTGTATTTTGTCTTTATTTAAGAGCTAGGTTTTTTTTTTTGCTAATAGTTGATGTTTCATTTTCTTAAACAACTAATCATGTAATTAAGGTCCCTTAATGTTTGGTTTTTTGCCCCACACGGTTATCCCAACTTGTAATTAACAAACAACTTGTCTTAATTCAAATTAAGTAATTTTAGCTCTGACTTTATATGGTATAACAATAACATATTCAGTGAAAATTCTATTAATAAAAAAGTAGCATATGCACATACGTTACTCTGAAGTAGATAGACTGTTTCTAAAAGACCTTAAATTATATGATCGTAAACTCATAAATGATTAAACGAATTGTGATAAAATTTCGAACTCAAATCCATGAAAGATCAAATCTTCAACTCATAGTCTAAAATGTTGTACAGAAAAAGTATTCAAAAGGTCAAAGTCATATAATTGGTTCCATATCTTTTTCTCTTAAGAACTAACAGAGTTGTTCACTCAACCGTTTAAATTAAAAATAATCAACAAATACGAAAATATATGTAGATAGAATTAAAATAATCAACAAATACAAAAATATATGTATATCTAGGACTGTGTATCGATAAAATATCAAGGGCCTCAACTTATTGTACCATACTTTCCTCAACTACCATTTGTCACGTGATAAGAAAATGAATCTTGGGCGTAACTCAGCTCCTTAAACAAGCTTACGTCCACATTTCTCATCAATCACAACCGATGCGGGGATACTGAAACTACATAAAAGTAAATCTTACTGAATGTTTTAGCTGTGATGGAGTAAAAGCTTCCAGTCAACTCATCGTCTTTGATTTGCTTGGCAAACTGCAGCCTCGAGGATAGATAGAAAACAAAGTTAGTCGATCAGATTGATAGAAAACTCAACAACATATACAGTGTAATTCTACGAGTAGAGCCTGGAGAGGGTAATGTGTATGCAGACCTTACCCCTATCTTAGGAGGTAGAGAGAGATTGTTTCGGATAGACCCTCAGATAAATTCAGAATTCATAAGGTGAAGAAAAATTGAGAATATACATGTTGTTCGCACACACAACAACAATAAGAATAAGAGGCCATAGGAAGAATATACGTCTCACATGCAAAGCATATATATGCCCAAAACATCAGAAGCAAAAATCCTCGAATTGTTATTTAAGAGTTCAACATATAAACATATGGCTGAAGAGATATCAAAGAAAATCGAGTAACAAGTACATTTGACTTTGACATAGAAGGTAATGTAAGTTACCATACTTGGAGCAGAGCAAAAGTATAAGATAATCTCCCTTCTTGACCAAGGGTGGATCCAGGATTTTAGTTCTATGGGTTCGACCTTTACGGTTCTATTTTTAGTTTTCTTAATGAACATGGTGTTTGGGCCAACTCTCGTACTCCTCGACTAATTTCACAGTTCACCTCCCACCACCAACTAGTACCAGGTAACTCTGTGCACTGGGAATTGAATCTGAGACTTCATGGTTCTCAACCACTTACTTGACAAATAGGCCACACCCTTGGGTGCGTAATGAGCTCATATTTATTATTTGCTGCAATGTAGTAAAGTTTTACACATAAAGGTTCAAATGAAACTGGTAACACTAAGCAACATCTGCCCATAGGTTGATCAGTAGAAATGGATCCAAAATAATGGCTAAAAGGAACTGTAATTTGAGTCTATAGTTTAAATTTCTTAGGTAACATGATTCATTAAACGAAAAAAAACACTATATTACACTCGCCAAATCTCAGTTTCTTTGACAGCATAATTGGTTTTTGTGCTAGCATTATCTTATTCTTCGGTTTTGTTAGTACTGTTGTTTTATTTACTTTGTGGTATCTACACTGTTTTATTGTCAGTACTTCTCTTTCTTCATTATTTTCATCATTGCCTTTTAGTCTTGCAAATCTATTCTCAAGCCGAGGGTCTATTGGAAACAACCTCTCTACCCCCTCAAGGATAGTGGTAAGGTCTAAACGTACACCTCACCCTCTTTATACCCCACATGTGGGACTACACTGGGTATGTTGTTGATAGTGGCCAAATCTCTAGTCCATATGGGCCTGAAAAGATGCGCAAACAGTTCTGGAAACTTCGCCATATGTAATGGTCTTAAGTAGAGGCTTGAGCATCTCCCAAAGCCACAAACCCCACTACATCAATTACCTAAGTTGTTCGAACTCGGATACTAGTGTCCGACACTGGTGCTAATCCGAAGTTCGGATTCCGGTAAAATCTAAATTTTATGATTTGAGGGTATGGATCAAGGTATGGGTGCTGGGATTCTACTAAAAGAAATTCAAAATTATAAAATAGAGCTACAGAGATATTCTAAACTTTGAGAGATACTCTTGTGGATATAATATTGAGACAAAAGGACTATAATATTGAAGGTATGTCATTTCCCATGTCTTACATCTTTGAGAAATCAAAATCTTCATGGATCTGGTCACAATATGACCTCATACCAGACAAATCCCACACCCACACTAGCGTCGTACCGACACAGGTTCGGCAGCAAACATGAAGAGTCCACAAAACATGGTCAGTTACTCTAGTACATGAAGATGGTAAGATAATGCTAAAATTCAAAAGGCAATTAGCAAAAGCACAAGCACAGTTCCGGGGACATTAATAAGAACATTTAACAATAAATTCCTTAACATTTCAAAGACCTTGTGTGTACAAACATGATATACTTATAATCACTTAAACATGTAGCAAGAGCAAGTTAGAGAAAACAAAAGAAGTGTTCGGGTTAGTCTTTACCAAAAGGCTAGCCTATGATCACGCAGTTTGTTTGCGTTCGAACCCAGCTCCAGGGTCATCATCACAGGGGACGACATCTAGTCCAGTGACAATAGCAGATGATGGACCCCTCCGACACCTCTGCTCCATTTCCTGAACTTTTTCCGGGCTTCCAGAAAACAAAGCTTCCACCGATCCATCCCTCCGATTTCGAACCCAACCTTTCAATCCCAATTCCTTAGCATTCTCCACAGTCCAGTCCCTGTAAAACACCCCTTGCACTCTCCCTTTTATCACAGCTCTAACCTGCAACCACAACACACAAGTAACCAAAATGCATGAAAATATGAACACTCATTACTGAAAAAACACCTTAAAGTCCCATATTTTTAAAGAACTTTAACTTAAAATCACAGCTACCTTGCACACACAACACACAAATATGAAATACATAAACTCAAATGATCAAACAACCATAAAAAACAAGTAGCTTAAAGTCTCATCCTTTTAAAGATTTTCAACTGAACCCACCGAAAACCTGCAGCAGCAACAGAAAATAGACAGAATAATCCGACAATCATCCTCATGTAAGCTCAAAATCTCATCCTTTTGAAGAATTTCAATACAAATCACAGCAAACAAAGAGACAGAGCACAACCCCAAAAATTCTAGCAATAGCTCATAATCACATCTCTTTTAAGAATTACAAATGAAAAATATTTCAAGCTATCTTGCAGCCTCTCTACTTCACAAGGTAGAGGGGTAAGGCTACTTACACACCACCCTCCCGAGACCCCACTTGTGAGATTACACTGTCTATGTTGTTATCGTATGCTAACATGTAGCCATAGCACCACAAACACCCAAACACCATAAATAATCACACTAATTTCCTGGTAAACGCTCAAAAAGCCATCTTTCTCTTGAAACTTTGTTTGGATGGTTGCTAAGTATTGTGTTGTATTACGTATATCATATTGTATTGTCTTAACAAATGCAGTGTTTGGATAGAGTATATCGTTCTCCGTCCTTACATACTATTGGATAGATTATATCGTTCTTCCGTCCTTACGTACTATACTTTGAAGGATAAACCTACAACAAAAGTAGGACGGTAGAACTACTATTAACAAGCTCACAATGACCAAAACTCAGATACAGATCAATCACCCGTTATCATTAACAAGCTCAACATCACATCTAAAAAAAGAATCACAGCAAATAGCACATAAATATCAAAAACTCAGAAACAATCAAACACTCATAACTAGGGATAAGGATAAGCTCAATATCTCATCTCCTTAAGAAATTAATCCAAAATCATATCACCCTTACAGCCATAGCACACAAAAAATGTCCTAAATCCACAAATCACCAAATACCCATTTCTCAAAATTACATCTTTATCACCAATTTGAATTGAAAAAAAAACGAAAAGGGAATTTAAGACCCAGAAATCACCAAACACCCATCTCCCAAAACAAGCTCAAAATCGAAAAGGGAAAAGAGGACTCACCGTTTTAACATCAGGGTTAGCGTCGGAACTTAAGGAAGACATAGGAGATGAAATGAATTTGTGCAGAAACGGAAGAGATGAACTAGGAGCAACACGAAGAGGTAATCGTAACAGAGGAAGCTGAAATGAAACTCGTTTTACACCTTTATATGAATCAATAACACTATGGTTATGCATAATAAACGAGGTTCTTGATCTTGTTTGCCATTGCTGCAATGGTGAGTCTAGATTGTTAAGCTTCGTAATAAAATTGGATTTGAAGAGTGAATTTGTGAAACGACAAGTGATTCTTTCAGTAGAAAAAGATACAGATGTTGAAGCTGCCACCAATGCCATTAGATTCGTATTCGATTCACCATTGACATGGTGGGAAGATCTCGTAACACAAAATTAAATAGGGACACGTGAACGTAATATTATTCGTCGATATTTTCTTTACGTTTTCATAATATCATTCACTAACGAGTAATTTTTGAATACATACCCACAATATGTATAAAGTGATTTAGTATTAAATTAAACGAAATTATCGATCAAAAATGATCCGTTAAGCAAAAATAATCATCTTTATGACCCATTTAAGTAGTTTTTCCTTAAATCTTTTAGTGTCAATAGCTCATTATATTATTTTGTTTTACCTTTTTCCAAATTATAATTATCCGTTAAAATTGAATATATCTGAATACATAGATGAGAGTGGTATTCAAAAGGAAAAATATATATTCGAAAAGGAATAGGACATTCAGATATATTATTGAACTTTCGAATATGTTTACAGACATTCGGATACATAGTTATATCGACCAGAGGAGAGAGGGCGACATATGTAATTGGAGTTTTTTTTTAAAAAAAAAAAATGATAGAAAATTTTAGAAATAGCGATAAAAGTTTTGACGTATATTTAGGTGATTTTTTCTAAAATGTTTGTAAACTTGGGCTATTCTTTAAATAGATCCTAAAATTTGCTATATGTGCACTTCACTTAACATTAAGCTTTTTTGGGTCAACAAATACAATTAGATGGGCTTTACTATTGGATTATGCTGTTGATTTGATGGGCTTTATTTCTGGAGGCCCATTTATAACTTTTAAGAACTCTACTCTTTTATCTCAATTGATATTATCAAGAATTAAAGTTAAACTTTAGTACAATTAAAAAAAATTTAATTAAAATAGAGATTTGCTATTTTCATAGAGAAAACATTGACATCAAAATTTTAAAATTGCATATTGAAGAGTCTCAAATCGATACTTTTTAAAGAATGAGTTAATATAAATTTTAAAAAAAAATTCCAACTAATTTTTAAGGTTGAATTAGATTCAATATCGATTTCTATAATGTGAAATAAGAGAATAATTCATTCGTAAAATTTTATTTTCAATGTTAGTGATTTCTATAATCAGTTTATTCAACATGAAATTAGTGAAGGATTCATTTCAAATTTTATTTTCAACGTTACGTCATCATATTAAATTGTTCATACATCAGATATGTCTAGCCTTAGGTATAAGGAGGTTCGGGGTGGGGTGGGGTGGGGAGGTTGCGAAGAGTCACGTATTGATTCTTTAAATGAGCTTAATTTTTTAGCCGAATTAGATCCACATATCGATGAGTAGTTGTATTTGTACAGCTCTTTACTCACTTTCGTTCACCAATTTTATTTTCAAATAAAATACACATCTAAACATAACTTCATATCTTAAAAATCTCAACTTTCAATAACTCAAAATTTCTAATATTTCATATTTCAACCTCAAAATTTATTATCAATCGAAGCTCAGTCCACAAAATTCTATAAATCTAAAAAGTCCAATTTCTAATCCTTCTAGAGTTTGTATACTTAGTAATAGTAATTATTATAATGGACTTTTAATTATTATTTTTTAAGGAAGATATGGTGCTGCACACACTTCAATAATATTTTAAAATATTTTCTCCAGCCACAAAAAATATGCAACTATATAACCTCAAGCTTATCCAAATAAGCCAAAATGATTCCAAAAAGTCAAAAAAGTAACTATATTAACAAATAAAATTAAATCAAGGCTAGTCATTATGTTTCAAAAAAGTCTTCAATTTAAATCAAAGAAAATATAGTCAGAATAATACATTTCTTTTTCTAGTGTGAATAAAAAATTAATCTTTTCAAAGTCTTTATTTGTGCCTTGTAAAGAGGGTTTCAAACTTTGGGAACAAAAAGATTAGCTCAAAATATTAATGTTTTTAGATGGAGGGACAAAAAGCTACTATTTTATAAATTCTTGAGATAACGAATAAGTACGTCTAAATCTATATCAGAAATTTTAGACACACATTTATATTATACTAAGGTCTTATTACTTTATGAATTTATTTTATTAATAATATTCAGCCTACGTGACACTATTTTATGGGTCTAATGCTAGTTAACTTTTTTTCTCAAGCTAGTGTCATGTTGGTCGAAAAGGAATAGAAACTTGCCCATAAAATAAGTTCAGGGGGTAATAGATTCTTAGTATAGTATAAGTACGTCCTTGTGATTTCGGGCATAGATTTAAGGGGTACTTGTGCATACTTGTGCATTTTCTCTGAATTTATAACTTTTTAAACACTATGTTTAACAAGTATTTTATATTTTGAAGAAGTCATTATTATTAGAACAAGTTTTATGCTAATCTACTGGTCTATATATCATTCATTAAATTAATCTACTCCACTCTAAAACCATGTGTGAATATAGTGTAAACTCGAGTTATCTTTCGTATAACTGTATCATTTATTAATAATTGAAACAAATATTCTTAGTATAATCGAAAGCGAAATCAGAATTTGAAGACTATTAGCAGAATTATTAAAGACAATTAACAAATAATATCGTATTAGATTAGTAGATTGAAACCTAATCGAGTGGGCGGGTGAGTTGGCTTGTACCGGCACTACCAAGTGTCTTTCTAGGCTTTCTACGGGCGTGATTACTTATATTTTCTATCAGCTTCTTAGAATAGATCAATATATATATATATATATACATAATTTTTTCTGAAGTTAATAGGTGCACGTGCACTCTACCCCACCTATGTGTGTTCACCTCTGACTGTAATACTTATTTGTGATCCTTCAACTACTAAATACATGCGTTAATAGTTTAACTTGATCTTACATGATATTTATTTCTGATACTTTATATTTACATAATTAAATATTTATATTTGTATGAAATTAAATAAGTAAAATTAATTAAATTAGAGTCGATGTCAAATAACTACATTGGTTATTAATAATAGGTGGGGTTGGGGTGGGGTGGGTGGAGGGAGGGAGGGGTGAACCTTGATTTGAAATTAATGGTCTAATATGGAACCAACAATTAATATTTTTGACTAATATGGTGGCTAGTGTTACTCAACTTGTATTTTTCTTCCCAAGTTATGAAAATTGTAAAGAAAAGGTTTCATTTGAATTAAATTACTTTGACTAGAAACATTCTACTTTGGTTTAATTCTTATATTATATCATATAATTTAGAGTAATCCAAATAATGAAGCAATTCTACTTCACCTTTTTCCCTTTTCTTTCTGGGATGTCTTAAAATCAACTCATTCGTATGTTGTTATCGGAATTTTCATTAATGAAATTCAGAATATAAAGAAAGTTATCACAATAAAAAAATTTAATATGTATATTTGACATTTCTATACTATAATTTTTAGACGAAAGAAAGTCATTCAAGTAAGAATAATTCCACGTCGATTTCTCAATCAATACGCATACACATACGTAATCGACTCTAATATATCCCGTTTCACCAAGCTTTTGAAAGCTAGCAAAGCTATATTTCATTAATAAAAATCCCATCAATGTATGTTTAAATTACTTTTAAAAAATCACTCTATCGATAAATATTATACTTATCTGGTAAGTTATTTACGATATATATCTTATAGTAAGAAACATATATTTTCTTCTTTAATTTTGTTTTTCAAAGAGTAATTTATTGTTATTATTTAATATTTGATTATTTTTGTATGTGATGTTGAAAAATGAAAGATAATTAATGTATTTATATACGCACGGTTGGTTATTTTTGGACTTTGGGTTATAAATTCAAAATCCAGCATGGCAATATGAAAGAATGACGTGGACTGGGACCCACATTTTTTAAAAAATGTCAAATTTAATATTCTTCAAACCCTTTTTAGTTCATACTCACATGTTTTTTTAAAAAAAAAATTTAAAAATGGCATGTCATATGCATTGCCATCCATCATACATGTCTCATGCTCAACATGCCATGTCATGGAATATGGGCATCATGATCATGCATGTATGTCATTAAGTTTTGGTTATATCATCAAAATAGTATTAAAACTTTCACTAATTTGTTTTAAGGGATATGACTTTTGATAAATAAAGAAAAATGCTTGAATATGTGATAATTATATATTTTTAGGCATAATACATAAACATAATCATTAACTTAAAGTCAGCTGATAACTATAATCTTTAACTTTGGGTGTGCACAAGTACGCACTTAAATTTGTATAAAATAAAGGCCGAACTCATAAACAGATCCCTAAACTTGTTGGGTTTTTTCTTTCAGGTACGTCAACTACGTCATTTTTTTTTAAATTACTGAACCATCCATAATTTGTTACTTCTAAACTTTTGGTTGATTTTAATATGCTTTTCTATTGTAAATGCCTTCAATTGTGTTCGAATTGTAATGATTTTGAATGAAGAAATGAAGACAAACCGTGTTCATCTGATTTATTTTTTAATGTGTTCAAATGACTTATGTAAAACACATTTATTTTCGAACATTTTCACTGTCAATTGGACTAATGAGTTCTGAAACATGTGTATCCTCTATCAATATCTCTCACAAATCTGATTTCACATCAATTAATAATGTTTGTTTAAACGGAACAATATGGGTGAGTCAATGATTTCAATAGAAAAATAACATAATTGGGATAACTCAGAGATCTGTTTATATATTTGGCCTAAAATAAAGCAAAAAGACATTTTGAAATTTTAAAAGGAAATGGACCATGCTTAGTGAATAATTTATTTTAAGGAATTTTGGCAAAATAGTGTTCTATTATTTCATTTGAAATCCTTTTATACCTCTCTTGATAATTTGCCTCTCTTTTTATTTTATTTTTAATGGTTGAAATGTTTAATTATTTTAATTTATTTTTCTTAAGAAGAAGCCAAAAACATGGCCACGTCATAATCATTGCTGAGTCACAGGCATTAAAAGGTCAATTTAATGACTCATTGCCACAATACCCCTCTCAATCTATGAATGAGTTTTTTGCGGTGTCTTTTTTGTAAGTTCGATATTCAATATGATATTAATTTTAATTAAATCTTTACTCATATCAATAACGTTTTATGTTAAATATTTTTAAATAAAAAGTTCAATTTTTCTAATTAAGAATATAGATAAAGTAATAGTATTTGGTTTGTTTTCTTTTATCAGGTTATATTCGATACTAAA